AATAGAGTTAAGGTCAATGTTACTGATTAAAAAATATTTAGACGATAACATCTTTTTGTTAACCATACTATGAAATAAGAATAAAGTTCTCCGGCAACAAACGAAGATATATTTTGATACTCCCTTCTAAAAGTGTAAAACTATTACAGTAGACGAGATTAATCTCTACAAAGCGGGTTCGTCATAAAATTTGTTGTTTTTTGGTTACGGTTTTTATAAGCATACTCGATCAACCGAGCTTGTAATATTTTGATCTATTTGCTGTGATCCCACATTTGTAAAGTAACATCTTATTCACAAATCTAGATATCTGGCATATATCAGTTAATATATGACTGATGTGTGAATATTTATTCAGTCTTGACTGACATTGATGTTACGCAAACAGATGTGGGGGGGAATACAATAATGAAACTATTTTACTTTGAAATATAACGATATCTTTGTGCAAAATAATAAGGAAGTATTGATCAACCTTTGTTACATAAAAAGTGATTTTCACTAAATAAAACCGGCCCTGAGTCCATTTGAAAGAGCTTTAATAGTTTTCAATTTTCTCGATGTATTAAAGTGATAAATGTCTACATTAGGAATGAATTCGAAAAAAACAAGACATTTCGCTCCAAATAGTGTAAAGAACTGTCGATAATGGAGTCTATCACTTTGTTTGTCACATGCAATCTAAAGAGGAAAACGGTTTAACGTCCAACGGAATTAATGATTGGACGCGTAGCGATATGCTTGAAATTCAAGAGTTATATGTTCTCCTAATAAATTAGTTGATACTTTTAGTACATACATCAGAAATACTACCAAGATCCAAATTTTTAAGTTTGTTGGCCAAATTTCCACCGAAAACAATCTTATAATGTTAGTATTGAATCGTATATACTTCCACTTAACAATATCTATAATTATAGGGATATGAATCTTCAGAATGGTAACGTTTATTTTGAATGTATAGAATAAAGTTGAATGTATATTTTTATATATTGTATTTTATTGTACAATTTAATTAGTAAAACATTCATTTGTTTAAAGTAAATTTAAAATGTTCAGTCTATAGATTTGTATTCTATAATTATACCACCGCACAACGATGTGTAAGGGGGGTATACTGGAATCAGTTTGTTCGTTCAGCCGTCCGCACGTCTCCCCGTCCGGCCGGTCGTCGGTTTTTCCTTGTTCGCCAAATAACGTTAGATTCATTTTACCAACAGTCTTTATATTTAGAATTTAGATTGGTCATGATTACTATGATCTCTATTTATTTTGAGGTCACCAGGTCAAAGGTCAAGGTCACAGGGCCTTGACTAAAAGCTTGTCCGACAAATAAATTAAGTTTTCTTTGACTCGCAGTCTTCATATATGGCATGGAGGTTGACGATAACCAATAATTGACCCTGACCTGACTTGATTTTGAGGTCACTGGATCAAAGGTAAAGGCCACATGGGTCTTGAAAAAAGCTTTTCCGCCAAATAACTTAAGTTTCCATTAACCCACAGTCTTTATATTTGGCATGGAGCTTAGTCATGATTAGTAAATGATCCCTATTGATTTTTAGGTCACTGAGTCAAAGGTAAATGTCACAGGGGCCTTGATTAAAACAAGCTTTTCCTCACAATAACTTAAAATTTATTTGAACCACAGTCTTCATATTTATAATAGAGCTTAGTCATGATGAGTGGATGACCCCTATAGATTATGAGGTCACTGGGTCATATTATAATTTTTATGTTGATCGTTTTGTCTTAATAAATGAGTGCTATAATGTATTGATAATTGACAGGTCACTTAAATCAGGCTACATTAATTAATTGTTGATTGTTAACGTTCCTTTTTGAAGTTTGGGGTAACATAGGAGACAAATAATAATTGTTGTATTCAGCTGTTTGCTAGTATGTCACGTGTATAAGTGTTTTGTCCTTGTTCAAAAGACACGTCTTACGTTAACAACACAGGAATGTTAAAAAAAATCTCAAACCTTTGCACAATTATCAACCATTTATGCATAAAAGTGGATAATTGCCATGTATAAGTATAAATATTTGTTCAGTTCATTGAGTCTTATTATGTTTAAAGTCGCAAGGATATATACTAAGTGAAAATGTGAAAGTCAACAGCAATATTCATTTTGACATAACTCAATACAATATAATACCTTACCTCACATGAACAATAAATAACTAACATGGCACAGGGATATTTCTGCAATATACCTACAACGTTCAATTTGTAAAATAAAGCAGGGGAGTCTTTTTCTATTTTAGACAAATTAATATGTTATGTTCAACATGTTAAATGTTATCTGTTAAATGTTATCGGATTATCAGTCATTATTATAACAGTCAATCCTTTGAAATACAAAGTCAATTCCGTTCAACTTGACAAAACATAGCATTATGTCACTTTAACGTAAACGGATCATGTATTAGGTATAATATCAATTTAAACAAACTGTGGCCTGAATTGTATGTCTATAATAGTCAAATAAAAATCTTGACGCTATTTAAAATGAATAAAAGACCAAATTCGTTAGGTACTGGTTTAAACCATTGAGCTAGCATTCACATTGGTATAAACTTATTAACATATTATGTCTGCGTATTTGACCAAAAAAAAAATAATGATACAAGGCTGTTACAATTTTGTCCGCTAAATATTCAAACAAGATCAGTGTTAGTCATTGTTCGTGAGGAACAAAGAAAACGTGCAGTGTAAAAATGATTTAGAAAATATTAAGTTACAACCTAGGAATGTTTTTTTTTTTGAAAAACTACAAATTAGATTTGTTATAGATATACTTCTCGACTTTTGATAAGCACCATAAGTTTAAGTTGTATATTATAACAAGTATAAAACAGATTTCTTTCAATTTTTTAAAAAATCTGAATAAACAATGTTTTGAGTCCTCTGACATGAATCATTGTTGCCTAATCCGTTACATCTCGTCTAGGTAGCATAGAAAGCATGCACTTCAATGTGTCATGATTTTGATGGGGTGTTCAATCACCTTTTTGTTATACAGCGACATCGCCGGCTTATTGACATTCAGTGTTTTACATTTCTTACATCTGTCACTTTGATATGGCGAATGCTAACATTAGGCGGCATTTAAAAGAAGCAGAGTTATAAAGGGCTGTAGATATGTTGCAGCAGGGGGTCACCTTCAGCCAGGTTGGTGCATCGCTTTGTGTACACCACACCGTCATCGCCAGAGCTAAGGAGAGGTACCGGCTACATGGTATACCCGCCAGGGGACATGCTTGAGGCCGGCAAAGAGTCAGAACACCAGCTCAGGATTGTTTTTGTGGTCGTTCAGGCAAGTTATACAAGGTTTTCGACAGTAACCTCTTTCGTCATGACCTTGCTAATGCTGCGGGGTTCCGTGTTTCAACGCAGACGGTACGTAGAAGGCTGCATAGAGGTTATTTGCGGTCCAGAAGACATTGCATGCGTATACCCTAGACGCGTTGACATCGCCAGGTCCGTTTGGAATCGACCATGGAGCATTCACTTATGAGTCCAGGTTCTGCCTAGACTTCACAGATAGCCGTGCTAGAGTCTGGAAGGAACGAGGTCAATAGTTATAGGCTTCAAATATTGCTGAGCATGACCGCTATCGAGTTGGGTCAGTTATGATGTAGGAAAGCATCAGCTGCGATTGACGAACCGACCTGGTTGTGCTAAATAGAGTCAAATTGACGGGTCAGCGATACATATACGACGTCTAATACAAACAGGTTAGGTTTTGCGCTGTATCAGTCAGCGGTCATTTCATTCTAATGGACGACAATGATCGCTACCATAGGACCAGTGAGGTCCAGGACTACATAGAGAGGGATTCTTTCGACCGCATGAACTGGCCAGCTCGCTCACCTGACCTAAATCAAATATAACACATATGGAATAAGTTGAGGGTTAGAATTTCAGCTCTGTAGCTGCAAACTGAGCTTAGAGCTATATTGGTCTAAGAATAGGCAGCCATACCCGTTAGATCAAAAACCTAATAGGGAGTATGAGAAGGCGCTGTCAAGCTGTTATTGATAGACATGGGTCACTCATCCGGTATTTAGTCTAAATCTGTAAAAAAATACATATTTGGAAAGCAAGCGGCATGTTTCGAAATATTCAAAGAGGGGGTCACCTTCTTTTCTAGCACAAAATCGATGTAAAACTCATTTAAAGGTTTAAAATCGTCCTACAGCTGAATTGGTTTATTAAAGAAAATCATATAAATTGAACAAGTATAGCCAGTGTTATAATTTTTGAACGTTTAAATGTAAGACATAGAATCTAATGAAATATTTAAACAAACAAAAATAAGAAAATAAATCAGTTTGGTACGGCACAAATTACTGTCAGTAACAGCAAGACTTTACCCCATTCACTCAGTTGTGGGCGGCAAATAGCCAAAACGATTGTTTACATAGTTATATAATTTCATAGAATCATGACCTTTCTCTATTCGAAGAAATTAAAAAATTAAGTTATCGACAAATATAAAAAACTTTGTCAATTGTTAAAGGTTACACCTCCCACAAGTAAAGTGTAAAAACTATATTTTTGGAATTAGTATCTTGACCATGATCCCTTACTAAACCAAAAGGAGCTTAACAAAACCCAAGGAGGAGGACTGCCCAAGTAAATCCATATTAAACATAAAAACATCAATTCGAAAATATAATGGATAAATGAGCAAAATGTAAACATGTAAAAACTTATTTTTTCACCAGTAACCCTGATCTTGACCCAAATGACTCACTCCACTTAAAAGGTTATTAAAAATATAGATCTGCCAGATAAAGAAGATCTTTAATTAGATGAAGTTTTAGATGAAATATAAGAATAATAAAACATCATGGAATAGGTTATCTATTAGGCACCATTGCCCTAGGGATTGAACGGATTATTATAGAAAAATATCATTTGATATAATATTACCAAAACATGAAGACAGCAACACAAAACATCCAATTTTATGACGTGAAAGGATTTAATGAATTCCACATTTACAATCTGAATCATAACACAAAAAATGCACACTTCTGTGTAATGGAAATGTATAAACAACCACACTTAAATATAATACACTTCCTTTAAATGACAGTATCAGCATTAAGCCTGGCAAGCATTGTATAACACAAGTCCGTTAAATGTGAAATTTTCATTAAATAATTGTATGTGTAGTGAATCAAAGTTCATAACCAATTCATGAGTGGTTTGATTTAAATCGGTCATACTTTCAGAAATATCTTGCATTATCAAAGATAAATAACAAATGCGTGAAGCAATAAAGTCTTTTAATGATGAAGACATCAACGGGGTTTCCTTATCTTGAAAATTGTACGTTGCGAAATGATTGTAAGAAGTTGAAGTCTCCTATTATTCCATGGTTGTATTCTTCGCTTATTCATCTGTGTTCCGATTCCATGTAGAAGCTTTTAAAGTAATTCTGCAATCGACATTTTGCAGAGTCATTTGTCTTACATTTGTACAAATTTGAGTGAATGTTGAAAGCGACGTCAATGAACTCAATATTATGATACTTTTCATTGTTTTCAAGTTTTGTACCTGTCGGTGTCCCAGGGATTTCTACGCCAGTGTGGAGAAGAAGAACAACGAACTTTTCACCTGAAACGAATATCAATCATTAAATATTTTGGTATATCAGTGCATATATTGTTGGATTGCATAAAGATATGCGACAATTAGCAATACAATATCTACAAAATTAAACAAAAACAAAGAGCAAATTTGATGCCAATATAGATAATAAATTTAAACAGAAACAGCTACACATTTGTAATCAACATAAATTATTTATATTGAATAGTAGATAAAATATCAGAAAGTAATAGCCCAATTGATAATGTCAATAGAGAGTATTTATGTTCAGAGCGTTTAATATGTTCTACGACAAATACGAATCATAAAGTTGCTGTTTTCTACTTCTTATTCCCGTGGTTCTATTGTTCCGTCGCGCATCACTACAACTGCATTTATCGGCAAATATTTTACATATTAAGTAGGTAGTCCTTGAAACTTCGGATAAGGGTTTGGCTTAAATATATTATTACATTTAGCCATAAAGCCATCCCTTCTTTATAGTTGTCTTTTATATTTGGTAGGTAGATTCTAATTCTAGGTGTAAGTCTGAGAAGAAAATACACCGTTGCTTGAACTGTATTTAAACTGTAATCCGATATTTTGCACAGAAATATATATAATGGCTTACACTTTACTTATTTGCATGCATTGAACGTCACAATTACCCTTGCTTTTTACAAAATAATTGTTTTGAAGTATACTTTTGATTTCTAAAAGAAGAAAAAATAAGTCTGTAAATGAAGCTTTCTCTGAAAACAATGGATGTACAGTATAACTTACACTTGACACCGTCAATTGCTAAGTCAATGTCTACTTCCAATCTTGAAGATATTTGGCACACCACAGCGACTGGATACTTCTCGGATAGTTTCCCAATATCATAGCAAATTATACTTTTAAATGAGATATCGGTGCATATTCGTTGGATTCCAGAAGAAGAGAAATCCATTGTGGTCTTCGTTTGTATTGGAACAAAAAATTGTACATTCTTTGGGGATACTGGTCCAAAATTTAAAAATGATCTGACAATTTGGATAGCTTTACCTGAAATTTTTAAAGTTTTAGAACAAAAACAAATTTATATTTTTGAAATATTTTAAGAATTGCACTAATAATAGGAATTTCATTATGCTTAGGATTTAAATGACATTATTTTGTAAATTGTAAATTTCAACAATTTAGAAATCATTTTAAATTGTTAAAAAAATAATATGTCGTTTTGTATGAGCACGTGTTTCAAACTGTCTCTAATGGAGGCTGAGTTTTAAACCTTAAGGCATTTCCTGCAACATATTTTTTATACACACAAAGGACACAAATATTAATATACCCACGCAATACATAATTTAGTATTAAACTGAGACAGATTCCCATCCCTATTATCAAATTATTAAATATGTTATTTTCCGTGGTTCCTAAGAATTGTCGGACTGAATCAGTAGCCTTCTTGCTATATGTCTAGTCGATAATGTTCGGCCAATTTCTCTTTGGATGTCCTAAAAGTGAAAAAGATATAAAACGTCTTTTAATAATCAAGCAACTTTTAAGTATAATACATTTCTTATTGGTCTTGTACATATCGATAGAGCTATTTCATTACATCGAGAACTTGATAGAAATTTTCAAAAAAGCAATTAAAGCTTCAAGGAAATAGTAGTAATTTCTCCAGCTTCAAATTATATAATATAATAGCTGCCGGTTTCTTTTGCCATGCCAGTTTTTGGCAAATTCAACCCATATATGTATGTTCGCGCGTTAAAGAAATGAAAACTATTAAAAATTGTTGCATTAAAAGGCATTGTGTTACATTCTTCTGTCTTTCCTGTTTTTTAAATAAAATTGCATGCAAAGTTTGCATTTGCTATTTCAAATTGCTATTTTGCCATGGTAATATCGTTGCGGCGGTGGCAATAGCATGACAAATATTTTCGTAACTGTTACAGTTAAATTGGGTATATTTACAATTTTTCAATTTAAATCTCGAATTTTTGTAATCGGGGAAAAACACAATTTTTACAACTTTCTGAACAAAAGCCATTTTTTCATCCAAATCATTATCATTATGCTATAATCACCATTCTTATTAGGATCATAATCGTTGCTGACGTTATCAGCATCACCATAATCATCATCACTTGTCTCCAACGGATTGAAAACCCTAATGGAAATTCCAAATATAGACTCATTTGGTTTGTCTAGGTCTTTTTTTTTCTTTTAACTATATTGGAAGCACGATAAGGAAGTGAGAGGTCTAGGTATCCAATCCTAGTCAAGGCAACTCATTTTTTTATAAAGATTTTTAGCGATTTTAACTTTTTTTGCTAGAGGAATATCCACGGTATGCAAGGATTAAGTATGGGTGTCATTAAAAAATGTACATATATGATATTTAAATGCAAGTTAGAAACTCTGGCCATGCAAAATTCCGCATGTAACAAACACAAACTGTATAGCAAAAATATAGATGGTAAAAGTGTTTTATATTTTAAGAACTTGTTTATTTACATATATGAAGATCTTTTTGATTTTAGTTTATAAGATTACTAACATTAGAACACTACACTGGTTTTGGTTGTTGGAAAAGATATGTCATTTTTGAGTCTTTGAAAATATGAGTTCATTTTACGCGCATCCATTATCTAAGATTAAGAAAATGTAAAATACAATGAATACTTGTAACGTACAGTCATTTTGTTCAATGTATAGGTCCAAATTGAAAGCAAAGACATAGATATATTCTGCAAAAAACATGTTTTATATGCAACAATATTTCCTCTAAATATGCAAGGGTGATTGAATTTGACCCAAAAAATTAAATTTTGGGTGTGGCATTAAACAAATTAATGAGAATAATTTCGGATGGTGATATTTATTATATTTGAAAAATAAATGTTTCAATATCTAGTTAAGAAAAAAGTCATGCAAAACTTATTCTAGTCAGTGACCATTAGGGTCCGTAATCCTTAAGAGTGGATCACTTATGCAGAATTTTAATTAAATACGAGTATTAAACGATAGTAAAGTAATATTGAAAATTATGAAACTATATCATTCACGTTTATTGTTCATGTTTTAACAAAAGATGGACAAATTTCACTACATATAAACACATACCAAACAAGTCATGTGTGCAATTCCGCTGTTTTATCCCGTAGCAGGAATTAATTTTATTTTTGTTTTTGTATTGCAAAGTTTTTATTGTCTTGATACGGGAATTTATGTATGCATAAGGCAAAGTTTTCATCATAATTGAACTATCAGTATTAACACATTTATAACTTTCAATAAGCTGACATTGTACGCGGTCTGTATAGTATAATTCACCATTTTCGTCAGATCCGGTAAAGGAAGAAACTCTTCCCCGACGCTTATCGCTTAAATGAAATGGTCTATATATCATTGACTTTGAAGTTCAAGACATTGAAATTTACATATTTTTTTTGCTGTTACTCGCTGTTACTTTGTTCTTATTAAATGGATTGTCTTCATATTATAACAGAGAATTCTTTGAGAATGAATATCAAAATAACGTATGTCTTTAATGACCTTGATATTGACTGTTCAATTACTGATTTTGTACTGATTTCTGCTTTAATAAACTGTAACTAGGTAATGAATGAAATGTTTATCTTCATACTTCAGACAAATGACATTTTGGACAAGACCTTCTGAGAGGTTGAACTAACCTTGATCTTTAGCAATGACCTGGACCGCCAATTTCATTTATCTGTGAACAAAACATCACTTATGACCAAACAGACATGTAGAATTATTAAGGTAATACATTTATCTTGAAGCAATCTTACCGTCAAATGATTTAATTTTGATTATATTTTCACACGGACATGATTAGTGTGACAAGACAGACCTTTTAAAATAAAAAAAGGAAAAACTGAATTTTTTTCTTTAAGATTGGTTTAAACAGTTTATTTGTTTGCTTTTAGAAAAGGTGGAAAAGTCGAGCGTTGCCATTGCCCGGCAGTGGCTCCTTTTTATTTTCATTTTTTTTTTGCGGGGGAGGTCGGAGTTAGGGAAGGGATTGAAAGTAAATCTTATATAAATCTGTCAGCGAATAATCTAGGTAAGATGTAAATTTTAAGCATTTTCAAACAAACAGCTGTTGATTTAAAAATAAATCAGTACTAAAATTAAAAGTAACTTTGTCCCTAGAAATAACTAAAACATTTAGTTGTCAGATTATCTTTTACGGCCATGTGTTCAGTATTTACTAAAAATTGGCGACAGAAAATATTTTTTTCAAATGTTGTAAAGTTAACTGTTCTTTTAGTTAGTATATTATCATTTTTCGCGTACAACAGGTAGTAGTACATGTTTGATGCTAATTATCTGATAAAAGTAGCACGGAAAATGAAAAAAAAACATCCTAAATGTATCAAAAGTATATTGATTTGAGAACAAAGTGCCAAATAAATAAAAGTTTTCCGAACAGAAAAGGAGGGTTCATATTATTTGCAAATAAGTCACTTTTTGGAAGTTTTGATAAGTGCACATTTGTCCTCTCAGAATTTGATTCACGCCAGTCTGACAGGTATTACACCTATGCACATAATATCAAAAACCTAAATGCACAGGTACGTTTTATTATACGCTATCCCGTCTGTTTTAGACATTAAATTTTAACTAGATATTAACGTACATATAAACATAAATCTACTGTGCTTTGATTTCTTGAATTAAATAGTGTAACGCGGTTATTTAACATTGTATGTTTTACACAAGAAATGCAAAGAAATGCAAAAGACCTTACCCCAATCTATTCCTTCTCCGTATTAATATTTGAGGCCAAAACGACTCTAAATGATCATAAATATGTTATGTTTATAAACGGTTCAATTGTGTGCCTTGTCAGTATAAATGTTATCGACACGTTTTGAAATTCAATAGTCATTTTATTTCGATCAATAGAGTTGCCAATCCTTTAATGAATTAAAACGACATGTACAGCCTATTGTCTTTGCGTTATGCAAGAGAGATTTTTTCTAAAGGAATAGATATCACGGTTTGGGACCGTTCACCGGGCATATGGTTTATTTGAGACAAAACAAAACAGGAGAAAATTTAATCTTGGACTGATGTTTCCCTTAATATATTTCAGATATGAAGTCTCGCCCCGATAAAATCTGAATCAACTCTACTCATGTACTCATATACAAGCTTTAGTGAGATGGGCAGACAGTTGATTTCTACAGCATATACAATATGCACCCAAAAGATTATACTGGGTATAATTATCAACTGTACTGAGTAAAACATATAAAATTGAAAAGAGAAAATGAAGAAATGATTTTATCATCTAAATTTTTAGTAAAAGCAATATCAAAGTCATGCTCATCATCATTATTCATCAACATTTATTTTCAGACAAGACATAGGGGAGACATCATGCGGATGAACTCCTTTGTTGTCTGCCAATATATATTGTCAACAAGCTATTATTTATGCAAGTATAGTACGTCAATAAATTCAACGTCAATATTATTGATTTATTTGTTGTTGTTGTTATTATTTCTTATTTATTTTTAGAAAAGTAGGAAACAAGTAAATATTATAGTCACCTTGATACAGTTATGTTTAAAAGATTATGTCATCATTAAATAGAGGATTTGAGTGATATATGTGTTGATTACATGTTTATTTTATTTATGGAGCAGTTATGAGATATAGGTGTCATTGGCATGTTGGTTAAATTTCTTTTATCATAATTATGTAAGCATGAACGTTATTAGAGAATGTATCAACAAATAAATTGTTTGCTGTTTCCCTCGATCGTCTTTAAAAACAAGCGTGCTTGTGCATTTGAGAACAAACGAAAATCAGTTTTGAATTTTTACTTTTTTTAAAAAATGAAAACTGTTTGATAATGAAAATATATGCTGATAACTTGTACCAAAATCATATTTATTTAGCACCTTATATGACTGAACCAATGCACTTTCAGCGTTTGCGCAATGTGATTTCCCAATATAATAATCGAATTTAGCTTAGATAATATTACAAATTAACGAAGTTTTAATCTGAAATTTAAATTTGAATTTGTAGTAATAATAGAATTAATATATTGCTAAAAAGTACCAGAACCCATCCCAAATGTTGACAAGAAAATACTTTCCCATGGTCACCGGCATTGGCTGTGAACTCGATATTTCTTACCTCAGGTGAGTTTTTATTTCTTTTATTTTGTCTTTAATTTTATTTATTTATTTTTTATTTATTTATTTATTATTTTTTACACTTTATACAATTATATCCGGTGTACGGTTCCATACAATGAACAAGCGAACTGTGGTAGTACATTTTGTGTCAGCCACTATATAACTTAGATTTAAAATGCTTGGGAATCGTATAACTGTTTATTGAAAAGGTATTCATTCTCACGTTAAGTCTTTACGGATATATCGGAAATTCAGTAAGTTTTAAACAGTATTTATTTTTGTTTGTTATTAATATATTTTTATTAAGATTAAGGTTCAAATTAAGCTTTATAGAACTTGTCGATACATTTGGAATAGGATATTTAAAAAATGTTTGTTCGTTTATCTGTCATTACATCCTCCTGCTCTTGAGGCTTGAAGAATTGGTGCTTTGTATGTAAGCAATATTTTTTTCTGCATTGCAACACAACAATCTACAAGTAAAATGGTTTCCTGCGGGGAACATTTTTCATGATATAAAGATATTTCATTTAACTATTTTCAACACCGTTTTGGCAGAGGGGAATAAATAAACGTTTATATCAGGAATATAGTTGACAATAATCGATCAACATAGCAGAAGGTCTTTCGAAACTGGTGACCGTTGATGACCGGAGAAGGTCGAACATAAAACAATTATTTCTTTTAAAGAAAATGAATAAATGGGCCTACCATATTATGAATAATTAAAAGCAAAAAAAAAAAAATGTAAACACACAAGTTTACGCAGAGAATAATTCTATCTATTATGGCAGATGCCACTACGAATATTTTAATTTTGTAGATTTTCAGTATAAACAATTTATTGTTTGTAAAATTTGAGATACATATATTAAAGAAACAATGATAATTTTCAAATAAATCATTCAAGTTTTTCCACCTTAAACGGTAAAATAATTATAGAAAATTAGAAATATCACGTAATAGGTTTTTGTTCTTAATTAGGTTTAATTCTGACTAATTCCTTAGAGGTAATTCCGTAACGTAACGACAAACGGTATTTAGCCAGGTTATCGAAAAGGTCAATTAACCAATCGTGTACGGTTTACAGATCACATGCTCCTCCATGTACCGAAAACTGGTCACGTGCTCCTCCATGCCTCAAAAGTAAAACGCGTACCAATACCCTGCGGTGTCCTGACCGCAGGGAACAAGGATCAAACTTTTATAACAAGTATTTAGTTAAATATTTAACATGATTGCCGTAATTTACTTACGCAGCTTTAAACAGTATTGTTATATGGGTTAACGCACGTTTTTCCTTGTTATAACTTCTGCAGAGTCCCGAGGAACGGTTGGTGCCCGAGCCCGGTAGGGCGAGGGCTCCAACAGTTCTGAGGGACTCTGCAGACTTTATAACACGAAATAAACGTGCGTTGACGCTATTATAGCATACAATTTTAAAACAGATTCGTGATGTTTAGTTAATACAAAACACAATTACATTATATTTTTGTGCTTGGATGGTATTTATCCAATTCTACATGTTTTACGTATGCGTTTTATTTTTCCGGGGCTAACAACATGGAAAATTCTCAGAACCGAACGAAATTTTGAATTTTAATTGATTTAACAAGGTATGACATTGGAAATTTATTATCTCAAGAAAAAAACAACGTTACATTACTCTACCCTCTACCCAAGACAACACATGACCCTCAGAAATTCTTAGAATGATTTCAAATTGACGGTAGAAAAAAGATCAGTGACATCAGAATCGTTTTTGTTTTCAAGCAAACAAGTGCATAAAAAAATCAGGCACTAAGCATTATTCTCTAAATTAAACTGAATGACGAGTACTGTGTTTGTTTACATTGACAACTGTCCGTTTCTTAGAAAGGGCGACAACCAAGATTAGCAGCGATGTCTATACGCTGTATTTCCGGCATAGTTACTTGAATGCTGCACGTCGTTATGCGATTGGGGCCCTCGAATCAATAATTTCAATATAACAAGAGCGCATGACTCTTTGGCAAACAGGCCAAATCGTCAATTTTTGTTTGTTTACTGGGCCCTGTATGTATGTTATGCGCATAGGTGAAACCGGACTATTATAACAAGAGCGCGTGACTGTGTTAACACATGGTTTTGGTCCCGTTATAACAAGGGCAAAATAGGGGAAAATAGCCGATTTTATGCTATAATTTGATTTATTATATGAATAGTCGTCTATATATTTTCTTGAAACTTTACACATGTACTTAAGGTCATAATTGAAGATCACGTCTCAAGATCCATTACTCTGCCATATATTTTGACTGAATTATGCTCCCTTTTGCACTAAAAAAACTCCTTTCTTGGTTAAGTTTTACGTGCAAGTTTTGCATATCTCTGAAACTAAAAAAGATACAAACTTGAAACTTCATATGTATATTTGTGCACTGAACAGCACACATATCTGTGTCATGTATTTAGGCTGATTTATCTACCCCTTTTAACCTTTTATCTTGGTTGATGTTGACATGTAAGTTTTACATATCTCAATAACTATCAGAGATTTTAATTTGAAACTTCACATATGCATGAAGGGTCATAATTGTATGTCACTGACCCCGTTAATAACTCTATCTTGAATTTAAGCTGATTTATCTCCCCTGTCCTACTTAGTCTCTTGGTTAATGTTTACATGCAGGTTTAACGTATCTCAATAACTACCAAAAATATTTATTTAAAACTTCACATATGCATTTAGGGTCATAATTGCAGGTCACTGACCAAGATCCATAATTCTATCTTGCATTTAGGCTGATTTTTCTCCTCTTTTGAATTTTAGATTTAGATTAACATAACGGTGCATTAATTATTACAGAACAATCATTATCATTTCCAAAGGTATTTTTCTCTCAATACATTTACTTTTCTAACATGATTGTCCATTCAAACTCCAACACGTCCATTACAAAACTGCTGACTTGTTTCTTGATTTTAAAAGGAATTTGTTGCATATGTTTTTATAAACAATGAGGCTTACTGATAATTTAATCTTTTTACACATTTTTGTTCACAGGTAGAGGCTTTTTTATAATTAATGCAAAAGTACTTTTCCTATCATTATTATTCTCATCTTTAATAAAACACCTTTACACATTGTAATTTGACCGAATGTGTACTTTTTTCATAAGTGGTTTTGCTTTGTTCAAATGATTTTCGCTTTTATGATATTCATATTCTTATTGGTAACTTTAGCTTATGACGGCATCTACCATTTTGTATATTCATAAATACTAATAAAAAGTACCAGTTGTTTCAGATATAACTGCATCTTTTTGAATAAACATTTCAATTTTGACTTGTACTTCAAACTTCTTTTCAAAAGTCGTATTCAGAATAATATTCTGATAAATATGAAATGTATTTCCATTAAACCAGCCGGGCTAGCGCACAAGTAGAGTGCTGGTCTGTCAAAAGGTAGACCTGTATTCAATCCCTTTAGTCCAATGCTATTATTTTGATAACTGTTCTAATTGTCGAGCATGCTGTCATTGGAGATCTCTGATTTGCTTATTTCCAAATTTATGCCTCTTTGTATACTCAATGAAACCCATGGTTAACTTTTTGGTTGTATCACTACTATAGGGAAAGCAATGAAACTTAACATACATTTTCACTGTGATTTTTTAACATGGCACAGGTCCCATAACTCTGATTTACTTATTTACATATGTATGCCCTATTTTATTACTCATTGAC